AATATAACAAACATCAACATATCATTGCAGCTCTAAATCTAAGACTACAACAAAAGTGCAACCAATTGAAACGGCTAAAAAACCTCTAGCAGATACAAGTAATGAAACTCCAAAAATACAAAATGAAGATATCGAATTAATATTATCACATCTGCATGGTACTTAAAAATAAAACAACGACAATTTTAAGTAAATTAGTGCAATGTTGATCAAAATAAAATAATTACCATACAATTTTGCACGATTATATAAAAATTACTAATACCCTCTCCTAATATCAGAAAATATATAAATGTATAGCTATATATTATAACTTGTCATTAAATCATTTAATTATCACTAAGAAAAACATCATATAAACGGTTTTTATTACATAATTATCTATGTAAATTTTTATTATAATTATATTTTAAAGAAGAAAAAAAAAAGAAAAGCATTTCCTTATAAAAATTTATTGTTACTGCAGCAGTTTTACTTCTAAAAATTCACTTTGTTATAAATACTTTCATAAACTAAAAGTATTTTATTCATTTTTATTAAAATACATAATAAAGCCAAAACACGATCGAAATATGTTTTTTTTTAAATGCAAACGCTTTAAGACTCGGTGTTTTAATTACTTGTTACTCATAAAATTTGTTAAATTGCTTTTAATGCATCTTCATCTTACATTTTTTGATTTAATTACTAAATAATATAGTTTATACATACTTATACTACATACGTATATTTTTTATTATTAGTATTATTATAAGTTTTCGCTAAGATTTATTTAACATTAAAAGAGAAATTGTTTGTGTAAAATATTTGTAAAAAAATATATTCGTAATAAAAAGAAAATATTGAAATAAGAATTTCTTTCTTCAAGTGGTTTTATTTAAAACAATTATGCTGGAAATGAATTCATTCCATTGGAAAAATTATCAATCTGAATTTGTAATCAGCTCCAGAGAGAAATTATTCAGACTTCGAAACTGAATCGCTACGCAAAAAGACCACATTTTTGTTAACCTAAGATGAGAAAAAAGCTTTATACTAGCATCGTCTTCGTGCTAAGGTTTTTATTGCTCACCGGGTTATAGAAACTTTCTTGTCATTCTTCAAGTCCTACTCTTTTTAGGGATAACCAAACATTCACCAAACCCTTGGATAAAGCTAAACTTTTAGCTGGACTATTTGCAAGCAACTCCGGAAAACAATCAAGCAATGCCCGAGCTGGTTAGAGTATTAGTAACTATGCCAAAACTATTCTTTCGAAATTGAGCAGTTTAAAGGGATCACTACATAAATAAGATGACAGACCAGCAACTGGTCTTGATGCTTTATCTATCTAATCTCTTCAGCATTCTATTCCATGCCGTCAAATTTCCTGTGGCCTGGAAGATTGTCAGTGTAACGCCAATTCCTAAAAAAAGAGAAGCTGATCGCCCCTAGCAATCTATTCTACACTTTCTAAAGTTGTGGTAAGTATAGTTTCGCTTAGGTTGCTCAAGGGGAGGCGTATTAGCCTTCCTTTCGGAAAAATTGTGTGATTTCATTCATCGTTTTGGCGAAAGTGGTGGCTCTAGACATTTCCCAATCATTCAATAGGGTGTGTTATGGTAAATAATTGTTTTTGGTCTCGGCCCAACCTTCAAAGTCTATTTTGAGGCTACTCGATCGCATACAGGAGAGGACGAAGGTACTTATCGGACAATGTAGAGTATTCAAATCTATCGATTCTTCAGAACACCGTCGCTATGTGGGGTATCTATCTATCTATCTATCTATCTATCTATCTATCTATCTATCTATTTTTCTATCTATCTATTTTTCTATCTATCTACTCTATCTATCTATCTATCTATCTATCTATCTATCTATCTATCTATCTATCTATCTATCTATCTATCTATCTATCTATCTATCTATCTATCTATCTATCTATCTATCTATCTATCTATCTATCTATCTATCTATCTATCTATCTATCTATCTATCTATCTATCTATCTATCTATCTATCTATCTATCTATCTATCTATCTATCTATCTATCTATCTATCTATCTATCTATCTATCTATCTATCTATCTATCTATCTATCTATCTATCTATCTATCTATCTATCTATCTATCTATCTATCTATCTATCTATCTATCTATCTATCTATCTATCTATCTATCTATCTATCTATCTATCTATCTATCTATCTATCTATCTATCTATCTATCTATCTATCTATCTATCTATCTATCTATCTATCTATCTATCTATCTATCTATCTATCTATCTATCTATCTATCTATCGATATTACAATCAAGAATGCGTCATTTTGTGGTCGATTGGCCAGTGAATCGCACAACTATTTATCATTTTCTTTCATGAACAATTTGAAGTTCACAGTCCCGAGGATTCGCAGGGCACAGCAATGTTGCAAAGTACTAAGATTAGTCCAAATCTAATCGATCTGGCATCATTACAACGTCAACAATTCCATTACTACCCAGATCCTACATGTTTACGTAATTGTCTGTTAATCTTTAAAGCACAACACCAAATCCAGGAATTTTTCAAGGTACTTGTGTAGCTGGTTCCGTAAAAAACGTGTGCTTCCCCAAATCTGGTAAACCGGAAATACCATTGTAAGCACAATCGTGATCATGATTCCCTATCGAACTTCTAGCGTATGTTAGTTTTGATAGTTCCAGATTCTTTGGCTCCTTCATATAATGCCGTAACTTCCAAAATATAGAAATCATGATCAAGAACGGATCATAATCGACCGATCTCTTCCTAATCACGCATTTCATATAGCATCCGGAAAGATAACATTCGAAACTAAACGTATTGTTTCCAAACAGTCCAGTCCCGAGGATTCGCAGGGGACATCAATATCGCAAAGTACTAAGATTAGTCCAAATCTAATCCATCTGGCATCATTATAACATCAACAATTCCATTACCACCCAGATCCTACATGTTTACGTCATTGTCTTTAAAGCACAACACCAAATCCAGGAATTTTTCAAGGTACTTGTGTAGCTGGTTCCGTAAAAAACGTGTGCTTCCCTAAATCTGGTAAACCGGAAACACCATTGTAAGCACAATCGTGATCATGATTCCCTTTCGAACTTCTAGCGTATGTTAGTTTTGATAGTTCCAGATTAGTTGGCTTCTTCATATAATGCCGTAACTTCCAAAACATAGAAATAATGATCAAGAACGGATCATAATCGATCGATCTCTTCCTAATCACGCATTTCATATAGCATCCGGAAAGATAACATTCGAAACTAAACGTATTGTTTCCAAACAGTCCAGTCTCGAGAATTCGCAGGGGACAACAATATCGCAAAGTACTATGATTAGTCCAAATCTAATCCATCTGGCATCATTACAACGTCAACAATTCCATTACCACCCAGATCCTACATGTTTACGTCATTGTCTGTTAATCTTTAAAGCACAACACCAACTCCAGGAATTTTTCAAGGTACTTGTGTAGCTGGTTCCGTAAAAAACGTTAGCGTCCCCAAATCTGGTAAACCGGAAACACCATTTGTAAGCACAATCGTGATCATGATTCCCTTTCGAACTTCTAGCGTATGTTAGTTTTGATAGTTCCAGATTCTTTGGCTCCTTCATATAATGCCGTAACTTCCAAAACATAGAAATCATGATCAACAACGGACATCAGAATATCGACTGGAAGGTTGTATAGCTTTAAAACTTAAAAGGATAGTAATCTATATAGCTTGATTCCGACAAGTATCAGTATTCGGTATGTGTGGTTCCAGCTAGAACTTTTGGCATATGTATGTTCTACATTTAATACAGATTCTTTGGCTTTTCCATATAAATACATATAGATCTATTGAAGACTTCAAGAGAAAGGAATCCGATGCATTATAATCGGTAAACGTTGCATTTCAATTCGAATGGAATTTTTTTACGTTTGGAAAGTTCAATATTCTGCATTTCGATTCGAATAAGGGAATGTTATTAGCTGCTTTCAACTTCGTAAAGAGCACGCGAACGAGTCAGTTAAAATCTGTTTAAATTTTCAATTCATGACGAATATCCCAAAGGGATGCAATTATCATAAAAAAGAAGAGAAAACGTCCAAATTGTGTCTAAATATTGAAGAAAGGAGTGCTGACATCGATATCAATATCGCTTCTGTTGAGTTAAAATCAGACCCTTATAATCCTATAAATATGAGATGAGATCTCAAACAAACGACATCAAATCTAATGAAAAAAAACTATATTATAATTTTTCAAAATGATCTGGAGAAATATTAGTATGTGTATGAACATTTCTCAATCTCTCAGTATTCGACTCAATACAAACTTATGTTCCAACAGAAGTTGATAAATCAAAGTTTAGATCCAAGCTGTTAATAGTCCTGGCATATTTAACTTGATACTGAAAGTTAAGGAAGTGATAGGAGCATATTACTTAGAACGTTTGTCAAATCTAACAACAGGAAATTCTGTTTCTTTCAACCTAGAGGGGAAGAGCGACAGGATGACGATTAAGTCTGCAAATCGTTATTTAAATATAGAATCAAGTATCCTACAAACGACATGAAATCTAAAGAGATTATTTTATGAAATGACCCGCTGAAAGATTGTTGACTTAAATTCCAAAATGCGCTTCTCTATTGGATTAAAATGAGCCTTAATAATGCCTAAAATATGAGGTCAACTCTTTTATCAACGTCATTAAATCTGTGAATATAGTTATTTTATTGACGTCAAGTGTGAATGGCCCTCTATGCAGTCAGTAAGTAATACTAAGGTTAATTTAATTTAAAAAAATCACGACAAATTACAATGTTATTAATAAATCATTAAATACGATTGCACTACTCTTGCAATGTGCATGACAAAATATGGAATCCTTTTCCAAAACAATCATATGCAAAATTAATAATTTACAAAATTATTATTTGAATTTGAAGTGATTAACTTTGATTTTATTGCAGCAGAATTATTTCCAAAGAAAAAGTTGTAAGAAAATGTCTGTGATTAAAGTAGCGGTTATACTATGGAATATTTTCCATATAGTACAAAGCAATGATTTAAATATCGGTAAGATAGAAATGGTTAAAAATACTTCTTAAGACAAAAATCGGCGGATTGAAAAGCCATTTTTTTTTTTTTTGATTTCAATTGAGTTTGTTTTAAAGCAATGAATTTGTATTATTTAAAATATATTTTCAGTATTTTGGGTAGAATCTGTTCAAAGGGATATATACTCCGATATTGCGGCCGCTTTGAAGGAAGTTGATAATTTACATTTAGAGTCGGAAATAACGGATGCGGTTATGGTTGTGGAATCAATGGAAGGAGATGATGCGGATGAAGTCAATAATAGAAATATGAAAACTTGTAAGATCTAAAATAAACCTGCACCCTTAATAACGATAGAGTTTTAAGTTTTAGTTAGGAATAACTACTAATCTATATAGTCAAACTTTCAGGACGGAAATTGTATTAATAACTGTAAAATTTTCGAACGATATACATAAATAACGCCGTGTTCAGTATCTCGGACGGAAATCTTATATTGAAAAGTTAAGTAATTTAATACAAATGAAAGAATCTTTCTGAGATACTCAATACATAGATTTATCACGCGTTAAACGATATTTTCTGAAATTTTTAACTACGATTTTTTTTTCAAATAAGATTTGTAGTTACATCTAACTTCATCAGGTGATTTATTATCTGCTAAGATTTTTCAATTTCTTTCTTTAGTTTGCGATATTCTATCAACTTTGGAAGTATCGATTATTTTGGATTTTACCTATCATCCCTGGAATCAGGGTATGGAATATGTTCAAGCCCGTAATATACCCTATTTACGAGTGGATCGTATGCTTAAACCATTCCTACATGTTTTTAGTGAATTTCTACAACAAAAGGGCGGCAATGATGTAGTATTAATTACACAAAACGAACAGGATAGAACGGAGGCTCTGCTGCAAGTGGTAGAGGGTTATCCATTCCGAACTCTGATAATGAATGCCGCCGATAGTAATGTGGATATTGTACAACGTTTAAAGGATTTACGACCGAGTCCATCGTATTATGCAATTTTTGCTAAGGGTACAAATATGAATACAATTTATGAGAAGGTAAGTCCCTGGTAATTTTACATATATTTGACAAATGTTTGGTTTCGGAACTATGTAAATAGATTTACAAGTTTTATAAGGAAATATTAAAAAAACTATAGTTTAAAGAACTTAAAAATATAATTTCTCATAGCTGGTATGATTTACTATAAAATCTTATTTTTTTTTTCTGTTCTAGTTCTGTTCCAGTTCTTGTTCTAGGTCTGTTCTAGTTATGTTCTAGTTATGTTCTAGTTCTGTTCCAGTTCTTGTTCTAGGTCTGTTCTAGTTATGTTCTAGTTCTGTTCTAGTTCTGTTCTAGTTCTGTTCTAGTTCTGTTCTAGTTCTGTTCTAGTTCTGTTCTAGTTCTGTTCTAGTTCTGTTCTAGTTCTGTTCTAGTTCTGTTCTAGTTCTGTTCTAGTTCTGTTCTAGTTCTGTTCTAGTTCTGTTCTAGTTCTGTTCTAGTTCTGTTCTAGTTCTGTTCTAGTTCTGTTCTAGTTCTGTTCTAGTTCTGTTCTAGTTCTGTTCTAGTTCTGTTCTAGTTCTGTTCTAGTTCTGTTCTAGTTCTGTTCTAGTTCTGTTCTAGTTCTGTTCTAGTTCTGTTCTAGTTCTGTTCTAGTTCTGTTCTAGTTCTGTTCTAGTTCTGTTCTAGTTCTGTTCTAGTTCTGTTCTAGTTCTGTTCTAGTTCTGTTCTAGTTCTGTTCTAGTTCTGTTCTAGTTCTGTTCTAGTTCTGTTCTAGTTCTGTTCTAGTTCTGTTCTGTTCTGTTCTGTTCTGTTCTGTTCTGTTCTGTTCTGTTCTGTTCTGTTCTAGTTCTGTTCTTTTCTAGATCAGTTCTAGTTCTCTTCTAGTTCAGTTCTTAAAGTTTAGAATAAATAAAACAGTTTTTTTTTATATAAACCTTTGTAGCTCTCCGCCGGTAATGTATTTTTGCGTAATCCCGAATGGCATTTAATCTATTTGGATACCAAGGATAGAGTATTCAAATATAAAAAACAAGTGGAAAAAGCCAATAAATTTGGTTTAAATCCCAGATCCATTTGCCGGTCCATGCAAATGAAAGATGCCTATTGTTTAAGTGGTTTTACAGTAAGTTTTTTTTTTTATTAATATTAAAAAGCTAATAATCTTATAACGATCTTGTAATTTTAAAGCTGCAAAGAGCTTTACTCTTGGACATTTTCCGCAGTTTAATTGATATTAGACAATCGAATTTAGATTGGCTGAAACCTTTGAACGTTGAGTGTAATGCCACCACCAGCGAGGAAACGGATCAGTTTGTTCCTCCGAACTTTGATATTTTAGATCATTTTAGTGTTACTAATTTTATGACTTTTGCTACTACAAATCCCGCCAATCAATTTGATGATGAAGTTGATGTAATACCGCCTTTAACATTTAATGTAAATATGACCATAACTTTCTATTCGAGTGAACATGATGCCGTTACCGATTTAGCTAATTGGCAAAATGGGGAATTGAAGAAATTAATACCAGCTATACCGCCGGCTAAGAGATTCTTCCGGATAGGGACAACAGAGGTATATATCATTAATAATCCATCAGTTTAACAAATATTTCAGAATTATATGAAATTTCTTTAAACTTATTTGAATCGTTACGCTTTCTTATTTATATATAATTCTAATCTCACATTCTTCAGGCCATTCCCTGGAGCTATTATCGTCGCGATGAAAAAACTGGCGAAAAGATTTTAGACTCTAATGGCAAACCCCTTTGGGAGGGATTTTGCATCGATTTCATTGAAACCCTGGCGGAAAAATTAAACTTTGAATATGAGCTTATAGATCCGGTAAAGGGAAAATTTGGTAAACGTGATCCGGACACTGGAACTTGGGATGGTATTGTGGGAGATTTGGTTAGTGGTGAAACAGATATGGCGATAACCGCTTTGAAAATGTATTCGGAACGAGAGGAAGTTATTGATTTTATTGCACCGTATTTTGAACAAACTGGCATATCGATTGTAATGCGTAATCCGGTAAGGCAAACTTCACTATTCAAATTTATGACCGTCCTAAGAGTGGAGGTATGGATGAGTATTATTGCTGCACTGGTGGCTACTGCTGTTATGATTTGGGTAATGGATAAATATTCACCGTATAGTTCGAGAAATAATAAGGATGCTTATCCGTATCCGTGCAGGTGGGTGTGGAAAAATATAGTATTTTTACCATTTAAACTTAATTTTAAACATCTTCCTTATCTTATTTACCCTCAAAACCTCCAGAGAATTTACTTTGCGTGAAAGTTTCTGGTTTGCTCTGACCTCGTTTACACCGCAGGGAGGTGGTGAAGCACCCAAAGCGGTATCTGGACGCATATTAGTGGCCGCCTATTGGCTGTTTGTGGTCTTAATGTTGGCTACATTTACAGCAAATTTGGCTGCCTTTTTAACCGTGGAAAGAATGCAGACTCCAGTACAATCTCTAGAACAATTAGCTAGACAGTCGCGTATAAATTACACGGTGGTAGATGGTTCCGATACACATCAATATTTTATAAATATGAAATTTGCCGAAGACACACTCTATCGCATGTGGAAGGAGTTGGCACTAAATGCTTCAAGAGATTTCCATAAATTTCGGTCTGAATTAAGGAATTCAGAAAATATTTCTTAAAATATTAAAATTTTTTATTTTGTTTCCAGCATTTGGGATTATCCTATAAAGGAGCAATATGGTCATATATTATTAGCTATAAATAGCTCTATGCCAGTTAAAGATACCGAGGAGGGTTTTCGAAAAGTTAATGAACATATAAATGCTGATTTTGCCTTTATACATGATTCATCGGAAATTAAATATGAAATTACCAGAAATTGTAATCTAACCGAGGTGGGCGAAGTATTTGCCGAACAACCTTATGCCATAGCAGTGCAGCAGGGTTCACATTTATCGGTAGGCTGATTCATATTTTAATCTTCAATTTATTTTTTTATTTTCCTTAAAATTTTACTAAATTTTAGAGCGAATTAAGCTATGCTTTATTGGAATTACAAAAGGATCGCTATTTCGAGGAGTTGAAGGCAAAATATTGGAATCATACTCGTGCCAATTGTCCTTTATCGGAGGAACAAGAAGGCATTACTTTGGAAAGTTTGGGTGGTGTCTTTATAGCCACACTGTTTGGTTTGGGTTTGGCTATGGTTACTTTGGCTTTGGAGGTGTTTTACTATAAGAAAAAATTACCCAAAACTTCTGTTAAGGGTTCAGTGACACAAGTTAAACCTTTGGATGCGTCTCTAAAGGCATCCGAAGTTTGGCATACGGAGAAGAAAAATCCCACGCCACCTCCGTCATTTGAAACGGCTACATTTAGGGGTCGCAAAATACCCGATAGCATTACAATGGGTTCAGAATTTAAACCAAGACGTTTGGGTTTGTCTACACGTCGTCGTTTGGATAGTACTGATACCTTAAAGGATAGCAGTGAATTACCGGCTTATGTGGAATAGATGGAAATTCAATTAAATTTATTACTTTTTACTGCACTTTTGATTATTATGAAATAAAATTTTATGTAGTTGTTTCAATAATTTAATGGATTTCAATGTGATATTCAGAATATAGTTTTCAACATACTTACGGACATCGTTAAATGGTCTGGCCGTTCCGGAAAATATTTCGCATCTTAAATTGCATACCGATATAATTATTAATTCATGCTTTTTTAAGATTAAGGGATTTTCAGAAGTGAACTTCATATAGGAACTGTAAACTAAACATTTTCGAGTATACTTATTTAAGATTAAGTGATTTTGAGAAATGGACTTTATGGAAGCTATGACCAATTATATGTCGATCCGGAAAAACTTTCGCTGAATAGTGGGAGCTATGGTTAATTATAAGCCGATTCAGGTTTTAGTTAGTAATACGATATCTATTGATATATATTAGATTTATGTTTAGTAATTCCGATATTCGAATGTAACTCCATTTTGCAGGAGTTATATGTATTTCCCATTTAAATCATTTTCAACCATGTTAACTCCTGTAAAACAAAAAAGATCTGTGTTTGTGGCAAAACTAATCAACAATGATAAAAAAAAACCGATTTTGCTGATTTTAAGTAAGAAATTTCAAGAAAGCATGTCTGATACAATTATTAAAGATTTAAATTTTGTAGAAAAATTTCAGAAAACTAATTTCAAAATACATATGGACATACAGAGGGACTGACCGGTATGGATCTTCACTCAGGAACGACCCGAGTCGTTCAATGATTGTCAAACCCAGCGACAGCTGTATCAATCAAAAGTTTTTTTTTCCCAGGAAAGAACTATCGGCCACAGTTGAATTGTTACAACAACAACAACCGACATGGTACGGACTCGGAATATATAGTCTTTATAGGATCGGAAAATTTTATTTTAGAAGTTACAAATATAAAACCGTAGTTTTGATGAGAATCAGTAAATTGCTGAAATTGTAGATATTAAGGTTCTATAGTTGGAACGAAAAGTCGACTTTTCGACTTTTTGCATTTAGTTAAAAGTCGACTTTTCGACTTTTTCCATTTTATGAAAAGTCGAAAAATCGACCTTTTTCATTTATTTAAAAGTCGACTTTTAGACTTTTCGACTTTTAGTATTTATAAATGGTCGACTTTTCGACTTTTTCCGACTTTTCGACTTTTACCGACTTTTCGACTTTTTCCGACTTTTCGACTTTTTTCGACTTTTCGACTTTTTTCGACTTTTCGGCTTTTTCCGACTTTTTGATTTTTTACGACTTTTTGACTATTTTCGATTTATTTCGACTTTTTTTCGACTATTTTTTACTTTTTTCGAGTTTTTCCGACTATTTTAGAGTTTTTGACCTCTTTTCCACTTTTTTAAAATTTTCGACTCTTTTCGACTTTTATCGACTTTTCGACTTTTTCCGACTTTTCGACTTTTTCCGACTTTTTTCGACTTTCTTCGACTTTTTTCGACTTATCGACTTTTTTCGACTTTTCAACTTTTTTCGACTTTTCGACTTTTTCGACTTTCCGATTTTTTGACTTTTCGACTTTTTTCGACTTTTATTTACAAAGTTATCGACTTTTTTGGAACAAAATAGTCGACTTCGACTTTTTTCGACAAAAGTCGATTGTTCGATTATTCGAAAGTCGATTTATAGAACCCTAGTAGATATGTAGTTTTGTAAGTGATAGCAGTGGAAACCCTACTTAGGCCTAAAATATACAACTCTGCGTATTTTGACAGATGTTCATACTTTTTTTTTGCCAGAAAGTCTATATCGAAAGTCAATTTTTTATTATTTACTTTAAACGCAAATAAATATAATCGTAAATATATATATAAAAAAAAGTGAAAAAACAACGACATTTTCAAGAGCTTAATATTGTGCCTAAAAAGTTATATAAATTGCAAATCCTAAAATGGGTGATAATCAGGAAAAGGCCATGCAACTGATGGCCGAGGCTGAGAAAAAGCTGACTCAACAAAAGGGTTTCTTCAGTGCACTATTTGGGTAATAAAGATCAAATAAATAATTGACAACAAAGAAATTGTTTGTGTGTGGAGAAATTTTTAGTCATTTTAACACAAGAGGGAAATAATATAAAAAATATGGTGACTTTTTTATTATTAAGAAACTTGACCTTATGCTAAAAAAGTGTTTAAGATTTTATGCACCCTACACTTACAAACTTAGCTTTGTTGTTATGTTGGCAATTAAAATTATTTGTGATATTATTTGTGTATATTCCATGGGTTATCGATGATTTATGCTGATTTGTTTTTTGCTTTTTAGTGGTTCCAATAAATTGGAAGAAGCTATTGAACATTACCAGCGAGCTGGTAATATGTTTAAAATGTCAAAAAATTGGACTAAGGCAGGTGAATGTTTTTGTGAAGCTGCTAATTTACATGCCCGTAATGGTAGTCGTCATGATGCTGGAATTGGTTATGCCGACGCCTCGAATTGTTATAAAAAGGTATATTATGAATGACGTACATACATATATGATTTATATACATACATATATAAACATCTTTTTGCTTTTATTTCGCACTGTAACACAAATTTATTTTTTCCATTAAATTCCTCATCAATTAAATTAATTTCCATAAATTTTTCATAAGGTTGATGTTGAGAAAGCCGTCGAATGTTTATTAAAATCTATAGATATTTACACCGACATGGGACGCTTTACCATGGCCGCTAAATATCATCAAAGTATAGCGGAAATGTATGAAAGTGATCCCAATACTTTACCCAAAACCATACAACATTATGAACAAGCTGCAGATTATTTTAAGGGAGAAGAATCAGTTAGTTCAGCAAATAAATGTATGCTGAAAGTAGCACAATATGCCGCACAAATGGAAGATTATGAAAAAGCCATATCCATATATGAACAGGTATGAATAAAGGCAAGATTTTTTTCTTTCATGAAATATCTAATTCAATTCTAAACAAAAACCAGGTGGCTGCCACTTCCTTGGAAAGTTCTTTACTGAAGTACAGTGCCAAGGAATACTTCTTTAGGGCCGCCTTATGTCATTTAAGTATTGATTTATTAAATGCCCAACATGCTATAGAGAAATACTCCAATCAATACCCAGCATTCCAAGACTCCAGAGAATATAAATTGATTAAGGTAATTCATGTCATCAATAATTAAAAAAATTAAAATATTAATTATTTTATACTCTAGGTTCTTTGTGAACATTTGGAGGATCAAAATATTGATGGTTTCACCGAGGCTGTGAAAAACTATGATAGCATTTCACGTTTGGATCAATGGTATACTACCATTTTATTGCGTATCAAGAAAGCTGCTGATGAGGATCCTGATCTGCGATAAAAATCTTTATTTTTATTATATCTTTATTATACATGAACCATTTATCTTCAACGTTTATTTTGTTTGTTGTTTTTTTTTGTATACAAAAGTAAAAGAAAATTAGTATTATTATATACCTTTATAATAGTAATAATAAAAATAATAAATAACTGGGATCAGCTGGTCTTGATTTAGTGTCCAATACTAGTGTCCAAAAGCACAAAAAATAAAGTTTTTTATTTGGAATTTGAGAGTGTCACTAGAGTTTTTAAAAGTTTTAAAAAGAAAAGAATACAGTTTTGTCTATAACCCAGACTATAGTTTCGTCTATAGTTCAGATTATAGTCCTGTCTTTAATCCAGGTTATAATCTTGTCTATATTCCAGACTATAGTCTTGTCTATAGTCGAGACTATTATCTTGTTTATATTCCAGACTATAGTCTTGTCTATAGTCCAGACTATATTCTTGTCTATAGTCCAGATTATAGTCTTGTCTATAATCCAGGTTATAGTCTTGTCTATAGTCCAGATTATAGTCCTGTCTATAATCCAGGTTATAATCTTGTCTATAGTCAAGACTATAGTCTTGTCTATAGTCCAGACTATAGTCTTGTCTATAGTCCAGACTACAGTCTTGTCTATAGTCCAGACTATAATCTTGTCTATAGTCCAGACTATAGTCTTGTCTATAGTCCAGACTATAGTCTTGTCTATAGTCCAGACTATAGTCTTGTCTATAGTCCAGACTATAGTCTTGTCTATAGTCCAAACTATAGTCTTGTCTATAGTCCAGATTATAGTCCTGTCTATAGTCCAGACTTTAGTCTTGTCTATAGTCCAGACTATAGTCCTGTCTATAGTCCAGATTAGAGTCCTGTCTATAATACAGGTTATAATCTTGTCTATAGTCTGGACTATAGTCTTGTCTATAGTCCAGACTATAATCTTGTTTATATTCTAGACTATAGTCCAGACTATAGTCTTGTCTATAATCCTGACTATAGTATTGTCTATAGTCCAGACTATGAGTCTTGTCTATAGTCCAGACTATAAGCATATCTGTAGTCTTGCCTTTTGACTAGATTGTATTATTATCTACAATACAGATTATAGGTCTTTAACAAATTAATGAATTTATTACATTTAAAAACAATAATACCAATCGATAACTTTATTTACACTCAAGTTTCTCATTTTTCTGCCACACCCTGTGTTTCTGTTTTGACAAACAAAAACTCTCATCTCTAATTATTTTTCTTATTATGATTATGTCATTTTTGACATTCCATTTAAACAGCTAGTAAGAATTTCTATACAAAACAGAATAGACGATATGAATTTTTTTATTAACATCGCGCAGTGATAATAAAATTAAGTGGAAATACAAGTGAAAATAAAAAAAGAAAAACAACAATCAAAAGAAAATTCCTGTACAGGGAAATTTTCATAGAATGCAAAGAAAATCTTAAAAAAGAGAGTGAAAATTGTTAAAAAAGCTACTGAAGGATATTTTGCTATCAAAAGCTGGGAAACATTCAAGCTGAAAGGACGCCTTGTATTCTGGCTGCGAATAAAATAGCTATAACCATTTTTTTTGGCGTTTAGATTAAAGCAGACAAAAGTGTACAAAGTTTTTTTGCTATTTGATTTGTGATTTGATGATGATATTTTTTTATTGTTGTCTG